TCCAGAGAAAACTCACACAGATATGAGTTGAACATGCAAACTTCATACAGACAGTGGCTAGGGCCAGGAATTAATTTTAGATTCTAATCAACATTATAATGAAATGATGTTGAAAAAATAATTTTATTAAAAAATCTGCAGCCGGGCTTGGTGGCTCAGCCTGTAATCCTGCGCCTTTGGGAGGCTGAGGTGAGTGGATTGCCTGAGCCCGCGGGTTCGAGACCCGCCTGGGCAGCGAGACCTCATCTCTACAATAAATAAAAAAAATCAGCTGGGCGTGGTAGTGCATGCCTGTAATTCCGGCTACTTGAAAGGCTGAGGCACAAGGATCACTGGAGCCCAGCAGGTGGAGGCTGCGGTGGCCGGGAGCGGCCACTGCACTCCAGTCTGGGCGACAGGGTGAGACTCCAACTCAAAAAAAAAAAATTGCTTTGTTTGTATGTGTGTGTGTATAAAGGTTGAATGAAATTAACGAGGAGTGTGTGTAGCTATATGAAGACAAAATTACAAAGAACTGACAGTCTGTGGTTCTTCAATAGTAACAAATGGAGGCAATGAAATAGAACCAATAAGAAAACCAAGAAGGCACATTCAGAGAAATAGGAATAAAATTAGGAGAATGCAGACATCCAAGGGAAGCAAGATAGTCAAGGAACTATTAACTCTGGCAAATATTACTGATAGGTTAGATGGCATGGTGGAGACTGGTCATTGTTTTATGCCATCTAGAGGTCATTTATGACTTTGGTAAGGAAACTTTCAGTAGAGTGGTGGTGGTGGGGGCATGTAGAGATTATTTTTCCACTCACAAATGTCAAAAAAAGTCAAAAGAAGTTCTGGTGTGTGTGTGTGTGTGTGTGTGTGTGTGTGTGTGTGTGTGTGTGTGTGTGTATTAGAAAATATGATTTGTTCAATTTCTTGTTCTTTCAGAAATCACCACACTGTCTTCCAAAGAGGTTGCACTAGTTTGCATTCCCACCAGCAGTGTAAAAGTGTTCCTGTTCCTCCACATCCACGCAAGCATCTGTTGTTGTTTGTTTTATTAATGATGGCCATTCTTACTGGGGTTAGGTGGTATCTCAATGTGATTTTGATTTGATTTCTCTGATAATGAGTGAGGCTGAGGACTTTTTCATGTTTCTGTTGACTGCCCTCATATCTTCTTTTGAGAAGTGTCTATTCCATATGACCCATTAATTCCCCTATTGGGAATAAACGCAGAGGAACACAAATCATTCTCCAAAAAAGGTATCTGCACACACATATTTGTTGCAGCTCTATTCACAATAGCAAAAACATGGAACCAACCATGTTGCCCATTGAAGCTAGACTGAATAAAAAAATGTGTACATATACATAATGGAATATTATGCAGCCATAAAGAAGAACAAACATATGAACTTTGCAGCAACTTGGATGGATTTGGAGCCAGTCATACTCAATGATCTATCACAGAAACAAAGAACAGAGTACCATAAGCTCTCACTCATAAGCAGATCTTGAACAATTATAATACTATAAGAAAGGGATTGGCAGTATGGGAAACTGTCGGGGGGTGGGATTGGCAGTTGAGGGAAACTGCTAGGGGAGGGAGGGGCATACCACCTCAACAAGGGTACCTGCATAATCAACATTTGTATACCTAACTTTAAGTTGTATTCCACATCTTTATAATAAAAAAAAATCCTAAAGTAGAAAGAGTAAAGCATTCTAAATGCTAAAAATAATAGAAAATATGATTTGGGAAGATTTTTCATTAATATGCAAAAAAAATTAATAAAATCAACTCACTTTTCTACAAAATAAAAGCTTTGATGCTTTAGAAACCTTGCTAGGTATAATTCGTTTTAAAATATTTCTTTTTCATTTTTTAATTGGCCATCTAATTTTTAAATTTTTTTATATTTTAAAGATGTGGGGTGCATATGTATATCCTTTTTTTCATTAAAAATATTTTCTTCTGAACATAAAAATGTATATGTAACCAGATTTATAAAATTTACGTACATATATATGAAAAAATGTTTAAATCATTCATTAGAAGTAACTACTCTCTAAATTTAGGGACAATTAATTTTTCTTATCCTATCATAGTGTTTCAATTTTTACTTGTTTATCATGTGAAAAACATTTGACATGAGATCTAGTCACTTAGCAAATTTTTAGTAGGGCAATATTATTTGACCTTAAGGAAAAAAAAAGAAATTCTACCATATGGGGCAACATAAATGGATCTTGAGAACATTCCATTAAATGAAATAATCCAGTCATAGGAGAAATACTGAATGACTCCTCTTATATGGAGTATATAAAGTATTCCCTTCATATTTTACATAGTTCATTAATTTGGACCTGTAGAACATATGATAATTTACTGCATATTGTTACTATTTTTAGCAAGCAATATATATATATCTCTAATGACTAGAAATTCACTGGGGTGATAATTCTAATTCCTATATGACTTCATGTTGACATTTTCTTCATAGGCTAACTTTTTCTACTTAGAATTTCCCAGTGACTCTTGGGCCCTGGAGGATCAATAATGCCAGGGGATCATATTGGGGGAATATTAGGAATAAGCTGTAAAATAATGAAAGGCTTCTCTATATAAAGTCATATACCACACATTCACATGCCCTCACTAACAGAGAGTTATGTGAAAGGACTCCCCTGTAGAAACATTCAGATTTCTTCCACAACTACATAGATCGACAGGTTCTGTTGGTCATTTCCACCATGACTTTCCCTATTAAAAAGAAATCATCCTGTCGAACTCAGCTCCAACTGGATCAGGCTGTCTATATCTGGGATTTAGATAATTCTCCTAATTCTCTAAAAATAAAATATCATCTTCAACTGCTCCCTGAGACTTGGGTTACCTTCAGAAGAAGACAACATTTGTTATCTATTGATTAAACTTCTGGAACCAATTTAAGTGGAACAAGAACATTTGTGTGTGTGAGTATTGCCTTTTTCTTAGGAGAAAAATTTGATGGTTTAAAAGATAATGTATATCAAAGATATTAGACATTCATATGTGAAAGTAATACATAAAGATAGGTGCTGGCCTTTGTAAAACTTGAAATTGAAGAGAATGGATTTTACAGTTTTTTCCTGTTTTTTAAATAAATGTACTAGGAAAAAACATAAGCTTAATTTCAGAATATGTTTTAAGAAAAGTAACCCAATATCAAAGCTCCTACTAATTACCTCTGAACATTCAAAGCGATGTTTATCATGGAAAACCAAAAGTGGGACTATAGTCAATATGTCCCCATGTCTGAAAGTAAGCAAATCCTGGCCAAGTCAACCCTTTCTTATTTATCCTTTCATCTACACCCAGAATGGTGAGCTGCAGTATTTGAAATGGTTGAGGAAGAAAATTGGTTTTGTGCCAGACTTTATGTATATATGCATGTATATGTATATGCATGTATGTGCATATGTGAATATATATATAACATGTACATACATTCATATACATATATATGCATTATGTATATACATTTGTTTTGTTTTGTTTGGGGAGAATGCATTAGGTATCAATTAAAGTATTAAGGTTGGGTCAATGGAGGAAAATAAAATTAAAAGGACAAATATTTTCTGGCCACTCACATTAAAATATTAGAAAAAAGTTTCTCTTTGAGAAATATGTCTGGATGCATTTTAGTTGGTTTTTTTTTTTTAAGAATTTGACATGATGAAAATGTATTATCTTTTACTTTTTTTTCAAACTTAATGTGTGCTTTCTCATACTCAAATGTGGGAAGGGGCATATAACTCCTAATAAGCACACTCTAAAGTTTAGGATAATCATTGGAGAGTTAGGTGCAGAGAATTGAGATAAATTAGTTCTGATTGTGAAGATGAAGTAGGAGGGCATAGAGGGCCAGGGTCTAAGGAGACATCTTGAAGATAGTGACAGCTGGAGGGGGACAGAGTTCTGTGTTTCCTATGAACACAGAATCCAAATAAGAAAAAATGACTTAGCAACCAAAAGAAAACTACCAGTGGTCTGACTGTATCTCTTTTTCTGGCTTCCCCCTCCTAGCCCATTTCCACTGGGCCCTGCAATACTACCCTAGTTGCAGAGAGCATGACAGTTTGGACACCTAAGCATGAATGAATAGGCAGTGCTGATATATTCACAACTGTGGACATTAGCTTTGACAATGATAACTTATCAAATTGCATAAGGTGAGAGGGTTATTGAAAATCATTATTGTTTCCCTTGTAATAAAGACTATCACATTTGGAAGGCAAGGATTTAGGCTATTTTTTCACTGAAAATTAAACAAGTATTGTTGAAAACTGTTTACAAATGTTGTGAGCAGTTAAGATAGAATATTATGGTTTTCATTAATTTAGAAACAATATATATATATAATATGTGTGAGTGTATATACATATGCATATATATAATATACGTATTATAACACACACACCCCCCCACACCCACAAACCCCTTACCCAAAGGGTACAAGGATTTGTATTTTTTTAATTTTTAGAATAGCAATATTTAAAAACAAACTCATTGCATGCAAATTCAGAATTGATCTAATGTTTGTTAAAATAAAACATCGTCTGTTTTAAAATATAGCAAATTAGTATGTAAAAGTTTTGTAGCACCCTAAAATCAGAAAACAAAAATTGTTTTCTTTTTCTTATCTAATATAATTTAATATAATCTAAATCTACAAATTAAATATTTTTACAAATATATAAAGTGGTTTTGTTTGCTTATTTTTACTGTGTAACCTTAAATTGATTTCTTTTCTGTTGGTCCTTAACTTTTGATCTCATAAGATTTTAAATAGCCAAAGAGAAGAGTTTTAAATGAGACATGCTTGTCTCATTTGACATTCTACTTAGTCAACAATATCTTCCCACAAACCCAAACACACAAGAGTTGGCATCTGACTACAATGACATGGTCTCAAACATTTGTTTCTGATCCTATCTTATCTTTTTTTTCAGCAGCTGAGAGACACGGATAAATGACTGAAAGGAATAGCACCAGGGTGACAGAATTAATTCTCTTGGGCTTTTTAGTCCATAGAGAGATTGAAATTATTCTCTTCCTGCTCATTTTAGCCGTATATGCTCTAACTTTGGTAGAAAACTTTGGGATGATTTTCGTAATCTGGTTGGATTCTCGACTTCACACACCCATGTACTTTTTCCTCAGGAATCTGGCCTTTGTAGACCTTTGTTACTCTTCATCAATAGCCCCCAAGTTCCTGGAGACCCTCTTGACCAAGCACAAGTCTATATCTTTCCATGCATGTGCAACACAGTGGGGCTTTTTTCTGATCTTCTTGATTTCAGAGATGTTCCTTCTGGCAGTAATGGCTTATGATCGCTATGTGGCCATATGCAATCCTCTTTTCTACATGGTGGTCATGTCCCAAAAAATGTATATGCGGCTTGTATTGGGCCCCTACTTATACAGCTTTTCTGTTGCTTTACTCCACACAGTAGTTACTTTCCAACTAATCTATTGTGGTCCCAATATAATAAATCACTTCTATTGTGATGATGTCCCTTTGATGACCCTTGCATGCTCAGACATCAGCCTCAAAGAGATTTTGATTTTCATCTTTGCTGGATTCAACATGATCAGCTCTTTGACTACTGTCCTTATTTCTTACTTATACATTGTGGCTGCCATCTTGAAAATCCAGTCTACAGAAGGGAGGTGCAAAGCTTTTTTGACCTGTGCCTCTCATCTGACCACTGTGACTATATTTTATGGAACTCTGATCTACAGCCAAACTCAAACAATTCCCTTGATACAGACAAAATGGCTTCTGTGTTCTACACAATAGTTATCCCCATGCTAGACCCCATGATCTACAGTTTGAGGAATCAAGAGGTAAAGAAAGCTCTGAGGAAAGTCTGTGAAAAATGGTATGTCTTGCCATTAACAAACTTTAAAAAAGGAATTTCATGACTTAGGACAATGTCATATGCAGATGTGTTGTTTTCAAAATTTTTTGCCAAATTACATTTATTTTTCTAATTCTTTCTCCAAGTAAAATCCTTTTGCACCTGAGTTGCTGTTCATAAAATTTGTAATAATATGAACTGTTTAAAGAAGTAGAATTAAGTTTTTTTAACAAATTACTGCTGTTTGGATATGTGGCCCCCAATGTCGCTGATCTGGAGGTGCCTATGAAAAATAAAACTTAGTTGTTTTTCAATTTTTTTTCTTTTTAATGTATTGATGGAAGACAGAGGAAGGAGTAAAGAAGTGACTGTTTTTTGTATTCCCATGTAATTTTATGTAATTTTCCATTCTTCAATTGTACTTGAGGTGCTAACAATCATTTCTCAAACTGCCTCTGGCCACCATTGCATCCACTAGTGGTTACTCCCTAAAATTACAGTGTGTTGGTTCATTTTACATGCCAATTTGACTAGACTAAGGAATGCCAAAATGACTGGTATAACATATATGTGTGTGTGTGAGGGTGTATCTGCAATAGATTAGCATTTTAATCAGTAGTCTAAGTAAAGAAGATAGCCCACATCAAATATGCAAGGATCATCTATTGAAGGACAACATAGAACAAAAAGGCAGAAGACGAATGAATTCTCTCTTGTGTCTTTACATGAAACATCTTTTTTTCCTGCGCTTGGACATCAGCTTCTGGTTTTTGGACCTTCAGATTCTGGGATTTACACCACCTCCTTCCTCCCTACTAATGTTCTCAGGCCTTCAACCTCAGACTGGTAGTTACATCATTGGCTGCCCTAGTTCTCAGGCCTTTGGACTCAGAAAGAATTATATTACCTTTTTTTTTTCTGGTTCTTTAGTTTGCAGAGAACATATCATGGGAGTCTCAGATTCCATAATTGCACAGAGCAGTTCCCATAATAAGTCTCCTCACATGTAGCATTCGGTAGATGATAGATAGATAGATAGATAGATAGATAGATAGATAGATAGATAGATAGATTGATTGATCTATTTTCTTTTGATTATATTTCTCTGGAGATTTCTGACACATGATTATTATATCTTTTGAAAAGATGACTTTTTCACATGAAAAACTTAGAGACTGACAATTTCTTACTGTAAGTTCATACTCTGTTTCTTTACCCCACTACAAGCAAAAATACAGACATCTCTCTAAATTTCCTAAGAAAAGCAGTGGTATTCAAAGTTTCTTTGATGTTTTGAGAATATAAGGAAATTGCAATAGAGTGAGTTCAGAAAAGGGTAGCTTAAAACAAAGGAATAAATATGGCTGCTGTCAGAGTTCAAGAATAAAGCTCTGTGGAGGGGTGGTTGTAAAGCAACATAATCCAAAATCTACTCATCTCTGCAACTATGATGCAATGAAGTGATTTTTATCCATTCATTTATTGATGCTTGATGCCTATTATTTATTTGATATTGTGTGATGTTCTTGGTGAGCAAACATAAACATATTCTCTGTCTGGTAGTGCTGCTTGCTAGTCTGAAGCAAGAGGTAGATATCAATCAAGTACCTAGAAAAATGCTGAATTTAAAGATGAGCAACTGAGGCTTAGGGAGAGTTAAAGTGTCAGAGAAGGGTGATTGAGGCAGTTAATGTGCAGCCAAAGTCAAAATTCCAGTAGTAGAAAATACTAGCCCCAAAGTATTTTGTGGAGTCCTGCAAATGTGGAAGAACTGTATCAGCCACTGAGGAAAATGGAGGCACATGTGAAACAAGACAGTACTGATGTAGGAACAAAATTCCCTGAACCTTTAAAAAAATAGGAAACACAGTATCAGCCCTGTTTGTGTGTTTTTGTGTGTGTGTGTGTGTGTGTGTGTGTGTGTGCGCGCGCGCGCTTCGGTGTGTAGCCCATTAAACTCCGGTGCAAATACCACCTTAGTTTTACTAGTTTTCCAACATGCCTCTATGGCCTGGATTTGGCTTGGACATGCATTATAGGTTTTCAATCTGAGTGACTCATTGGGAAGAATGGATTATCATTTACCATTTGTCACTCTTAGTGTCAAATATAATTCATTGGTGGCATGAAGGTGAAAGAGTGATTGAATGATGGTGAATGAGTGAGCAATCAAAATAAATACAAAATTGACTGTTTTCCTGCTCACAATGACACCCTGCTCTCTTAGATTTTTCCTTCTCCACAGAGGTGGAATGTGACATCTGTCATTGTACTAGTGGCCCTATCCTTCTAAGTACCATATATTGAAGTCATCACTTGACTAAGGATAAGTCAATCTGATGTCTTTTCTGGGAATTTGCAATTATACTCCTTAATTCTAAAGAGTCTTAGTGAGTCATTTAAGGATAGGTTAAGTGAAATCTGGAACAGTGCACTGAGAAACAGAAAACTGGTCTGTAGAAAAAGAAAAAGAAAGAAACTCAGACAAAAGGAACACATGTCAGTCAGTTCAGAGACTTACAAAGTGGGTGACTATCTGTTCTTATAGTGTCCAAGACCTAAACACTGTGTGTGTGTGTGTGTGTGTGTGTGTGTGTGTGTGTGTGTGTGTGTGTGTGAGAGAGAGAGAGAGAGAGAGAGAGAGGCAGACCTGGTACATTATTTGCTCTTAAGTTTCATAACATATTCCTGTAATTAAAAACAAACAAACTTGTCTCATTATTTACTTTTATTCAGTCACTTGGGTTACTGTGGCTTTAAAATGAAACTTTTTTAATAAGACAAGTGAAAAGGTGAATATATTTTAATTAAATCCATGACTTGAATTATAAGACTGTGTTACTATGATCAATGTATTCTGATAAGTATTTGAATAAATTTAGCAATCCAGGAAATGCTATTATGTTAATAATAGACAAAATGAAGCCATGCTGATGATGTTTGCCACGGTTACATGTAAATTCTTTCTTAGCCTGACTGATGTGGAGCTGGAGGCGAGAGAGAGCCAGAGGCAAGAAGATTGCCTGAGTCCAGGAGTTTGAGACCAGCCTGCACAACTTGTTGAGCCCTCATCTCTACAATAAATTGTAAAAAAAAGAAAAAATTAGCTGGGCATTGTGGTGCATGTCTGTAGTTCCAGTTACTTGGAAGGCTGAAGTGGAAGGATTACCTCATCTGAGCAGGTTGAGGATGTAGTAACCATGAGTATGCCACTGCACCCCAGCCTGGGTGACAGAGTGAGACTCCAACTCAGAAACAAAAACACAAACAACAATAGCAAGCAGAAACAAAACTAAAACAAAAAACACTTCCCTCCTACCATGGGCTGATTTATCTTTTTATTATCTCTAACATTCCTGCTTTCATCTCACCAATAAATTAGTAGACACAGAGATTCAGACACAGGTATGACCAGTAATAAAAATTTATCTGCATTTAAGCAATGACATCTTATCAAAATAGGAAGAATTTTTTAGTCTTCAAGTCAAATCTCAGTTGTATCATGTGCTGACTTAGTGACACTGGATGATGTCTCTGACTTCTAATAAATAGACACTTCAAAACCACCTATGAGTGATGGGCAAAGATGCAAAGCTAATTTGACATTACTAACTTCTGAGTGAGTGATGACTCACTTAAAACTCAGAAACAAAACAGGTCTGTTTCAGCAAATATTTCCTTGAATGATGTGGGAAGCACATCATATATTTGAGTTCCATCTCAATTTTTTGAACACTACATTAGTAAAATTAACCAATAATGTAAGAACAGAGGCTTTTACAACAAATTTACTTAATTGTAAGCCTCAATTCAACCACATAATAGTTCTAGACATTGTGGAAATTACTGAAATTTGAAAGAAAAAATAAAGGAAGGTAGATAATACAAAAATCTCATCAGACAGAGAGATAGTACACCCCAAATTTGCTGTATATAATCAAACACTGTATATTCTATATGCATATATATTATACTATATACATTAACTTTATATACATATATGATAGGCTAATGTGTGTGTGTGTTTCTGTGTGTATATGTATGTGATTGTGGTGACTTAGCAGAGAGTTGTATCCTCCAGACTTTAGTCTCACATTCTGATTTTTTCCCCCATGTTGATATATCACATGGATAGATAGTTAGCTAAGAATATTTTATTCTTAAATTGACTCACAACTCCATTTAAATAAATCTGAAAATTTTATACAGCCACTGCAAATGATAATTCTGAGCCAATTATTATACATAGAAAGTAATATATTTAAAAATACTTAAAATATCAAAATGTCTGTGTTATATAAAACAATTTCTTATTATAGGTCAGTAAATACTGGCCAAAAATTACTCTATAAAGAATTAGTTACAAGTCTTTAAGAACCACATTAGCTGAAGTTAATCCATGTTATTGTAAAATGGGTAACATGATTAAATTTAAATATTAACCTTTTGTGAAGACATTAGCACTATTATATTAAAGTATGTATTTTAAAAGTTATTTTTATATGTCTTGTCCACTCCCCAAGTCATTATTAAAGCAGAAGTTGGATATTCTAAAATAAATTTCTAAGTATAAACTCTGAAAAAAATAAATGAGCTGTCATTACTGTGTTAAAACTCAAGCTTATTATTGGGGCAGGGGAATCCATACATAGAAGAAAAATGAATCTTGAAGCCATATCCATCAATCTCTAAAGGTAGACACTCAAAATAAAAACCATTTTGGTTGTTGTTGCTTGTTTTGTAATTCCATTTTAGTGTATTCAAAAAATATAAAAGTGTTGTAAATTGTAGTATTCAACTCAAAAGAATATGCCACTCTTTATAGTAATTATTGAACATACACTCACACACACATATAAATACATTCATGTACAATTTGCATAGAAATAACTCATATAATAATATATCAACTAAGTGGTGAACACTTTGTACCTACTTATACAGGCACAATAAGAATAAAGTATTTGATGAAAAATATATTTAACAGATTCTAAAGCATAGTAATATAATAATAGAATGTAAATAATTTCCTAAAAATCTAACTTTTCCAGAAAAAGTTTAGAG